CATCAAAGTCCTCGGTACCGAGCCTTTGCAAGGCCGTTTCTTTGAGTCGTCGTTGACACCAATCTCACCCGCATACGGCCAGCCGTTGACTATCGGTTGGCGCCCGAGCACCCGTTCCCTGCGGCGCTGGAGGACGCTCTTGCGGTCTACACTTGGCTTATCGACCCGCAAGGCGGGGTACCCCGTCCTCTCTCTCTCTCTTCACTACCTCCCCTCCTCCAATCGCGGCTCATACTCGACCGGCCGCTCGCAACGCGCACAGGGCTATCGGCCCCAAAATGTGGTCATCGGCGGGGACTCGGCCGGGGGCGGCTTGACACTTGCTACCATGCTTCGGTGATCGCCGCACTCCTGCTTCCACTCCCGTTGCGCCACATCGGAAAAGCTAGTACTTGACTAACTGATTTGTATTTCAAATTTTGCCAGAGCGAGGGACCAAGGCCTGCCGCTGCCCTCGGCTATCGTCTGCCTGTCTCCCTGGGTACACACCACACCACACCACACCACACCGGCTAATGAAGTGTTCCCAGTAACAAATACTCATTGATACTTGTGCGTAGGTGGACCTGGAATGTCGAGGCGAGAGCTGGAAGAAGTACAAGTCCTACGACTACCTCTCCATGCCCGAGACCTTCAACTGTCCCCAGGTCCGTTCGCGCCTTCCTCGCCAGGCACCGCACACCTTTGCCGCACCTCACAGACATTTGTTACCAACACTTGCACGCTATGCTTGAGCAGATGTACGCGGGCAATCATCGGCTCGACCACCCACTCATCTCGCCCATCAACGCTTCCCTGGTCGGTCTCCCGCCTCTTCTCATTCAAGGCACGTCGCACTCTGTAATCAAACATAAAATATCTATTTCTTTTTATTTATTTATCAATTTTTAATATTAATGATGGTTTCGACCGCAGTGGGCGAAGTGGAGGTGTTGCGGGACGAGGCAGTGATGCTCGCCGAGAAGGCGAAGCGAGACGGTGTCGACGCCACCCTCGAGATCTACACCGACATGGTGCGTCCTGGAGTCCTCACGCCCTG